CAAAAGGATTTCATACGAAATGTGACAGACTTTGATATGAAAATCGCTGGCTAGCTAATATACAATGAAATTCAATAGAATATTAGTAGTACTTTATATTAAAATTAGGAAGAAGTAGAATAAAATCGAATGACAAGAGAGTTTCATACGGAATGTGACAGACTTTGATATGAAAATCGCTGGCTAGCTAATATACAATGAAATTCAATAGAATATTAGTAGTACTTTATATTAAAATTAGGAAGAAGTAGAATAAAATCGAATGACAAGAGAGTTTCATACGGAATGTGACAGACTTTGATATGAAAATCGCTGGCTAGCTAATATACAATGAAATTCAATAGAATATTAGTAGTACTTTATATTAAAATTAGGAAGAAGTAGAATAAAATCGAATGACAAGAGAGTTTCATACGGAATGTGACAGACTTTGATATGAAAATCGCTGGCTAGCTAATATACAATGAAATTCAATAGAATATTAGTAGTACTTTATATTAAAATTAGGAAGAAGTAGAATAAAATCGAATGACAAGAGAGTTTCATACGGAATGTGACAGACTTTGATATGAAAATCGCTGGCTAGCTAATATACAATGAAATTCAATAGAATATTAGTAGTACTTTATATTAAAATTAGGAAGAAGTAGAATAAAATCGAATGACAAGAGAGTTTCATACGGAATGTGACAGACTTTGATATGAAAATCGCTGGCTAGCTAATATACAATGAAATTCAACGCTAGATAAATATTCATTCTTCATTCAAAATCAATGTCGTCTCCCAAAATATTATCAAACTTCGATGTGTAATTTGAATTTGAAACCGAAGCGTCTAGGCAAGCTATCACAGTAGTTCTAGTTGCATCATTCCAACCGTCAGATTCTTTAAAATTTCAAAGTGTTCTTCAGTGATTGGTGATTGTTGTATTGACCGAATTAGGAATTCAAGGAATAATGGGGTGACATTGCGGGGCCTTCGCGACGCACTCAACGCTCCATTAACACGCGGGTCTTATCGAGCAATAAAAACGTTTTAATTCGTCGCATGGATCAGTCGAACCATCGATTAATTTAATTCTGGCAATTAGGATTGACGAATCGTCGTACGAGAGTCAATCTTTTCATTACACGCGGAGGTATAGATACTTGATGCGTTTAGCTTAAATATTTAATAAACCACCACCCGTTTATTTCAACAGTGAAACTACCAATGGTAACATGCATACGTAATATTATATCCACAAAACCATAAAAAATCGAGCAGTTCAGAAAAATGAACAAATTTAGAAAATATCTCGCGAATGAATGAATATTATAATTAGACAGCGGATTTTATGCATTCATAACAAAATGGAATCGATAAAAATGATTAATACTGCGCGTAATGTATGAAACAATTTAAAATATCAAAAATTGGATATTTCAATGTTGAAACCGTTATTCCTCCGTAGACATCGACTATGTTATTTTTTCAATGTACTACTTTCAGTATTCTCAGCGTTCGTATCATTGGATTTGTCTTAATACAGGAAATACATGAAAATTCATCATTTTACAATTGCAGACAATGCTCTCAGAAATTGACGATCAACTGGAGGACTAAACTGACATAAAAGACCAGTCTTAACGTACAAGAGACACAGAAACTGAAATTCATAATTAATTGAGAGAACAAATTGACTCACCTGCATTCGGCTTGCCCTGATAAGCGGTCCTCCTCATCCACTCATAAGGGCTCCTCATCTGTGCTGGCCTCATAGGTGCCGCGGGCATCTGAGGCATCGGCGGCATCGGAGGTGCCGGAGGCATCGGAGGCGCCGGTGCCATCGGAGGCATCGGGGGCGCCGGGGGCATCGGGGGAGCCTCGGGCATCGGAGGAACCTCGGGCATCGGGGGAATCTCTGGCATCGGAGGAACCTCGGGCATCGGGGGCGCCTGGGGCATCGGGACCTCCGGTAATTCCTGAAGTTCCGGGATCGCTGGGGAGGCAGATGGCTCCGGAACAATGTTATTTACATTGTTATTAACGTGGGAACAACTTGCACCGGCGTTGTTGCCCCTACTGTGGCTCGACGATGATGTGCTCGGCGTGCTAGGTTTGCTGGCTTCGCCGCTGCTGCCGCTCATCGCCGGACTAATCTGTCCGCGGTGAACATTGTTGTTTACGCCGTTCGCGTTGTTCGCGTTGCCCGCACCCCATTCAGGCATCTGCTGGTACGGCTGCGGATGCTGTTGATATTGGATGTGGGCGTACGGATGGCCATACACCATTTCGGCGCGGTTTCGGCGTTGCTGGCAAGGGGCCCGGTGCGCCGCTTGCGGTTGTCCATAGCCGGCGTACCAATAATGCTGGGGAGCGTCTTCGGGAGCCGCGTTCTCCGGATGTTGCTGCTGCTGCTGCTCTTGCTGCTGCTGCTCTTGCTGCTGCGCCTGCTGCTGCATCATCTGCTGTTGTTCAGCAGCTTGTTGCTGCCGGAACGATCCCAACGGATTGTAATGTGAGACCATACTTGCGATGGTCGTCTGTCCAGTTCACGGGACGCACTTATCACTGGAACTGCACCACTGGCAACCGATTCGTGCAAGAAACAACCGCGTTTCGAAGAACGTCTTTGGTTGAATAACACACAACTTACACGACCGGATCAACACGGGAGCGACGGCGAGTTTCCTATCGTAGGAACTCAGAGTCTGCCGCGATCTCACTGAGTTGTTAACACCATGGATGCACCAAGCGAACTAACACTTAGGGCATGTTCTTCTAACCGATGCCCGTTCTTCACTTGCGGACAGAAAGCCTTCCTCATCCAAGCTCGTCCGGAGAGCAGAGGCTACTGACGAAGTCTCGAGTGGCTGCCGTGAGTTTTGTAGAGGCGAGTGACTGGGTGTCTATGATGACCGAAGGGTGCGTCTATTGTTAAGACGCCAGAGTCCGCCTACGACCCGGTATCTCATCCCTACTCTGTTTGGAGGTCGACCAATCACAAGGTAGACTAGGTTGTAATGGCGCTCCAAGCGGTGTTACCCGACGGACGAAGATATCGCTGACCGATAAAAAAATCCCCGGAAGGCGGCTCCCCGGCACTGAGCTTCCCTCACCGACTCGCGGGATAGACAACATTTTTCGCGCCCGTCGCGCTTTTAACCGCGCGCCTGTCACACGTTATGGAAATGTTACCTCGCGTACACTCTCGCTCATAAACGTCGCTGCATAAACGATTAAAATAAGTTATTAACGATACTGTATATTAAACTTAGTGAAAAATTAAACTTAAATTTAACTTAGTGAAATTACATAGAATGGCAAGATGCATCTATTTCATATTACAATTCAAATTCAATGAAATCAAAGTAAATTTTTGATAGAAGTATTAAATGTAGAACGATGACAAAAGGATTTCATACGAAATGTGACAGACTTTGATATGAAAATCGCTGGCTAGCTAATATACAATGAAATTCAATAGAATATTAGTAGTACTTTATATTAAAATTAGGAAGAAGTAGAATAAAATCGAATGACAAGAGAGTTTCATACGGAATGTGACAGACTTTGATATGAAAATCGCTGGCTAGCTAATATACAATGAAATTCAATAGAATATTAGTAGTACTTTATATTAAAATTAGGAAAACGTAGAATAAAATCGAATGACAAGAGAGTTTTATGTGAAATGTGAAATGCTTTGATACGAAAATCGCTGGATAGTTAATACACAATAAAACTTAATAGAATATTTGCAGCATTTTATGCTAAAATTAGCAAAAAGTAGGATAAAATGGGATGACAAGTGGATTTCATGTGAAATGCGATATCCTTTGATAGAAACATATCAAATGATACTTGTAATACAAACAAGAAATTATAAAATCGATGAATAGCTGATAAAGAGTACAGTTGAATGTGATGTACTTTATATTACAATCGAAATTCAGATATCAAATTAAACTCGCAATAAAAATACGGTAAATGTCTCAATTTCTAAGCTGTACATCAAACTGTAAAAATGCGGCAGTAAACAGAAATTCTTACGTGAGCAGAAACTGAGACATTTACTAAATTTTTATTCAAATTCCTAAAGAAGAATCACTGCATTTCTCTCAGTCAGTCAACTGAAGTTCTTATGATTCTCTACCGCACACATATGCTTACTACATAAAGAATTACTATAATTTATTGCTTATCGTACATGACTATCGATCTACCTATAATCTCGTCTATGATTATTTTTATAATCTACAATCGTTTGTGAATTTTCCGTCAGTCTATAAACGTTGTGTAGTATGTAACTTATGAACAAGAGTGTATCCGCGACCTATGAAGAAAATTTATGCGAGAACCTCGAGGCCGTTGGATTTCATCGCGCTTTTATCTTGATAGTACAGTTGCCAATTGCAGATTTCTATTTTTTACTATTCGCTAATATTTTTATTCTACGTAGCCGTATTTCAATTCTCCCGTAAATGTGATAGCTTGGCTTCACGATATCGTACCTGATACGTTATTATAATGAATGTAATAAAACAATCTTATACATAAATCTGCGATAAAACGTACAAAATACAGAATAATTATTAATTAACTGACTAACAAACTTCTTTGAACTTGAAAGCTGATTTAATGATTAAATA